ATAATATTAGTATAGACAATACTAATGCGTGCCAAATAAGTTTGCTAGCTGTAAAAAAGTACAGAAATACAAAACTACTTACTTAAACAACGACTCCAGTAGTTTCCCAGCAACATACTGCGAGTCCTTAGCATCGTGTGCGTTGTCCAATCGTATGGCCTTCAGCAAGTCCACAATATTGCCCTGGAAGGTACTCAGCCAGCCTGGGATGAGGATCTCTTCCACTACACGACGAACGCGGACACTGCGCTCGGTGAGACCAACCTGGAAGTAATGATGGTGTTTGTTTTAGTAACGGATTTAATTAAAAGCTATCAAACTGTTCCACAGATCTGGTAAAGTCAGTAATGTTAATGTTGGTCATCTTTCACTGGTACGGTTCAGACAATTAAACAAAAACAAAGCCAACATTACTGTTCCTGGTAGTAACAAATGACTATACTTGATTTGAGCCCTATGCCCCCTAGATGGAACAGACCACCTCCTTCACCAGACCACCCTTTATTTCGGTTGTTACAAATACTCCATAACATCACGCCTTTTATCCCCTAAGGGGTAGGCAGAGGTGCATAGAGAAGTAACACCCACTTTTTCACTATTTATGTTATGAGTCCCATGTGATAGGGGGTGAGTCTATTGCCATATACCGGGCACAATTCCAGACTCCGTGCTACTACTGAGAATTTTTTTAAACCCAGTGATACTTTGCTCGACCCGGAAATCGAACCCGAGACCCCTTGGCCAGCAGTCGCACTTGCGACCGCTCGGCCAACGAGTTAGTATGTTACAAATACTAACATAATTATTCATAACTTTTAACCCTTTGAGTACCGTCGCGGTGTTTGACAGTTTAAATAGCTTTGTGTCCTCTTTAGGTATTGTAGACTAATAATTAAAATTTATTATCATCATTATGAAAAGCATTTACCATTCACTGTTAAACAGATGCCTCGTCTTTGCAGAGGCCTAAAAGTTCTATGATCTGTAAAAATCCATACCTTCAAGGTCAGCACTCTCTGCCGCACCCTGAGCTGTGTGACATTGATGGCCGCGACATACAGGAAGGCCGCGCGGCGCACCGCCTCGTCCACGTCACACAGGCGCTCCAACACGAACGGCACGTTACGACTGCACTTCGCTATCGACATTACTATTGCCCTGTAATTTATTTTTTATTCTCCTTTATTGTTTTTAAGAGGTTTTTGTCCATATGGATATGTCATCCAACCCATCGTACCTTAACATTTGTAAATGAAAGGGAATCATTAACAAGGTCTAGATATCAGACAAGTTATGTCACCCTCACCAGTTCACACAATCCACTGTAATTGATAAAAACCAAGATTTTACATAGTTTGTTTGTAAGTAAATGTTTTTCAGTTCTGAAGAACATAATTGTTATAATTTATTAAATATGTACATAGAGGTGTACATATTTAATAAATTAAAATTAAAAACAGTATTCAAGAAGTACTTTGGCCAAAGATCAGTTGCTATTAAAAACAAATTTGTCTGCCTCTGCACTTGACTGTGTACAATTCCTGGTTTACGTAGGGATGATTATTGGATTTTTGATAATTTAGATTCAGTCATAGCAGTAGTCTGGCCAGTGAAAAATGTGAGTACGAAAGTATGTGCACCTCTGCCTAGCCCTTTAGAGAATAAACGCATGACGCTAAAACAACTCCTTACCTTCTAACAGAAGAACTAGGATCACAGCTCATATGAAACCGATATGCCCTGGTGACTTCATCATCAGGCTCCATGGGGTTCTGCAGCCGCTGCAGAGCGAGCGCCGCGCGACAGCGTACAGCGCCGCGAGTGTCTTGTAGTCTTTGCATCTGTAGCCGAATTATTAGACGTTATCAAGACATACCAAAGTTTGTTACTCTTTGGTGCAAGAAGTAAAAACATCTGTATAAATAAAATGGGCCTCCAAAAAGTATCACTGTCGAATGACTGCACTGAATTCAATAACTTTTTTTATGCCTTCATTTTTTTTGTCAGGTTTTTATGTCAGGACATGGTTTGTATAAAAGGAAAACTCAATACACTCATTGGGAACATCAGTAAAGCAACACTGCAAACTTACTCTCTCTCTCTCTCTATTAACTCCATTATAGACCTTATTTCCAATGTTTAGAAACTACTTTTGTATGAACAAATATTGGGGATTTATATCAGGTGATTGTTTTTTTTTTTTAAGGGGGGAAAATCATCGAATGACTACCCCCGCCTGGGTGAGGCGGGAGGGAGTGTCAGACTCTTACTGACTAAAAACCACCCCGTTCCTTCTCCTGCACGTCGAGCCGGAGCCCCGGTTACCCGTTAGGTTCTCCGCGACCCGTTAGGTTCTCCGCGACATCAGGTGATTGTTTACAAGTTAATTATGAAGTTTTGTTAACTCATTGAGTACCGTCATTATAGACACAATTAAAGAACAATAGGTTGCGGTTGCCGGTGACCACGCGGTGTTTGACAGTTTAAACTTCTTCAAACAAAAATTTATCTTACTAACTAATAACAAATAGAGTGGTTGCATAATAAAACAACATTACCTGTGAGGCCAGTAGTTTGTCACAGAGGTCATCGTCCAAAGAGGCATCATCACCCAAAGCTGACAGTACAGCTGCCAGCAGCTGACTGGCTCTGTATCTCACTGATTGACCGGATACACATTGACACTGGAATTACAAGGACAAAAGTAATGAGTACAATTTTTATTAATATGATAAATGTAGAATAGTTTTATTTCATTTTCATGTTATTTCTTTCATGTCATACCACAATATTTATTTCATGGTATGATTTGCACTAGGCTCACCCCATAAATAGTAAAAAGTGAGTGTTATGTTGTACAGTGGCATTAAGCCTACCCCTTCAGGGATAAAGGTGTGAAGTTATGTTTGTATGATTTCTGTGTCTGGTGATAGAAGGCTACTTTTTGATGAAGATGAAGCCATGAAGCCACAGGTAGAATGCCATAGGCTCAATAAAAGAAACAAATTCTCAAACAACTATTACCTAACTAATTTAACTAATTACCTTATTAACCTTAACCCTATTAACTAAACCTTATGTACTAAATAAAGTAAAGAGATACTTACATCAAAAATAATATTGAATATGAACAGCAAGAACTCTTCCTCATCGTCTAGGGATGTGCAGAAAGTTGCCACAAACTGCACGACTCTGTCCACATTGGCACTGGTATCACCGAATGTAAACAAGTATTGTAAAGCATTCCTAAAGCTCTCTCGGAAACTATCTTCATCAAGCTGTGAATTAAATAAAAGCAGTGTACAAAAATTGTGTATATACATACACATATATATATACATATACAGTAATCTTATTGATAGCTCATCATGACTTAAGTATTCATGGAAAGTTGATAAAGTGACTAGTTGAAAGCTTTAGTTGTAACTTTTATTAAGTATTTTATCAGAAATCCACTTATATTTAAGATTCTGAGCACTATTTATACTTTATAGACGTATAGTAGTGTTGACAAACTGTCTACAATTCTAATTTGAATGAAAAAACAAGCCAATGTATCAATTTGTTTACAAGTGAGGGAGATATAAACAGCTTGATGTAATTTGTTTTTATGATAGATAATATTGCGAGACTTACCTTTTTATAAAGTTTTATCATTTCCTTAACATATTTCTTGTGTTGAACCACATTGTATTGCACGTTTTGAAATATTTTGAACATAGTAGGATTGTTCCGAGGGTTCGGTTTTGCCGCCGACACCGGTTGCGGCACCTCTGCGTCCGTTGGAGGCATTTTTCTAATCTAAATTAACCTAACACTGCCGTAAAACAGTTATAATGCAAGTATTCCTGTCTTACAATTGAATCTTATTAAGAAATATCGTGCGTTTGTGTAAATTCGCGCCCACGACCGTTTTGTTTTTGAATTTTTGACAACACAAACAACTCGGATTTAAAATGCCAAAGTGACATTTTACAGTGTTGCCAAGTAAGAAAAAACGTTTAAATTACTTGAATAACTAGTTATTTACCGGTTATTTGATGTTATTTACGGTTTCTGAAATACCAGTAGGATGGCCGTATCTAGAACAGCTGCAGCAGCATACCATCCATTGATATATTTTGCTGCAGTACTTTTTTGATTCTGTCATGGCAGGAATGCAATGTTCATCATTTTGACAAAGAAAAAGATTTTTAAATAATTTAGACAAAAATATTTACTCTTTTACAAAAAGAATACCTGTCTACTACTTAAAACCCTATGGAATAAAATATAAAAGAATAATTATATTTTATTGTAACGTTATTGAACAACTACACGGTGGGATTGGGAATTGAACTCGTAAGCATAAAATAATCATTAGATAATACTTATCTTGTTAATACCTTTATATGTTTCATATAGGCATAGTTGGGCCATTCAAAACGTGCGAACTGTTACGTCAAAGGAATGTGACAGTGTCGCACAACCGTGGTAGTACCTAATAAGTATCTACTAGTCGGTTGTCAAAGAAGAAGAAAAAAAAGTATCTACTACGTACCTACAATTAATAGTAGTACGTAGTACTAAATTACTTCCATGCGTACAATTCGCGTACGTGTGAACGAGAGGCTGATAAAAATAATAAATTTTTGACAGTTCCAACGTTTGTAACGGCATAACTATTATTATTATAGTTAGTTACTAGTGCCAGACTGCTTCGTTGACCAAGGGGTCTCGGGTTCGATTCCCGGGTCGGGCAAAGTAATACTGGGTTTTTAATAAAATCTCATTATTAGCACGGAGTCGAGAATTGTGCCCGGTATAAGGCAATAGGCTCACCCCCTATTACATGGGACTCAACATAAATAGTGAAATGTGGGTGTTACATTGTACAGTGGCATAATGTAGGTACACCTCTGTCTACCCCTTTGGGGATAAAAGCCGTGATGTTATGTTTCTAGTTCCATTATTAAAGGCAAAAATAGAACGCAATGATATTATGTAAAAGTTTATTGTGCCGTTTGATAATACAATAGTAGGTATAGGTACTTTATAAATAATAATTATTAACTTAAAAATATTATGTACAAATCACATGATAGCAATAATGAGTGAAACATAGTGGGTAGGAAGATTACTTTCATTGTTAACATTAAAAATTAAAATTAAGTACTTAAAAATTAAGAAAATCATTAAAATTTTGATAAATTACAAACGTTATAGCAGAGAATTGTTTACAGTTAAGTATAATTTGGCAAATAATAATTATTCAAGTATTAAAAAGCTTTACAAAACAGTAAATTATTATTAACGATGATGATAAGGAATAGTCAAAACGGAAAATATTTCGACTATCTACAAAAAATATGAAATTATGTATTTATTGTACTATCTAAGTCGAACTGTTGCAAATAATAAATTAGACATTGAAAGACGTTTCAGTACGATATTTAAAAATGATTATTACAACAACTAGACCAACGAGAAAATTCTTATTAGACTTCATGAAGAAAGTAAGTGTTTGTTTAGATCAAAATTTGAGATTCATAGATACAATATTGAGGGCATTTTCCGATTGAATCGAGACGTAATCAAATAAGTAAACTAATGATTATAGCATCATAAAATGATTCGACTAATCTTATCGAATGAATACAACGTACGACCGTTGAACGATAACAATGACCTAAGACAATCTGTTATTTATTAAAAAATCTGTCTGCTGTCGGATATGTGATTAGACGATAACCGATAGAAATAATTAAGTTTAACCGCCTGAAGATAAAACAGTACGTTACCTAATGTCATTGTCATCGACAGGAATAGAGAAATAGTGTGTTGCTAGTTTTACAAAATAATTTTCCAAGACACTACGTACTATAAAGTCAAATTCATAAATAGGTGCTTCAAGACTATATAGTAACAATTCGGCCAATTTACCGAACTGCTCAAGAAGTAAACACCATTATACATAGGTCTATGTAGGAACCACCGCACTGCTATACTTTTGTGGCTAGCAACACAATACAACGCCATCTCTGGATGATATCATAGAACTAATTATTTTGAAGAGTTGATATTCGCATCGCATAGAATTACTCCAGATCATCAATAAGAGAGTCCAGTTCTTTTTGCAATGTGACGGATTCTTCTCTCTGTTTCAATACATCGTCCTTCAAACGGTCCACGTTGGCCATCAGGAGAGCGTTGCCCTTCTTCAGCGCGTGAACCCTCGTCTCGTGACGTTTTACCCTCTTTGTGAGATTCTCTTTCTTATTTGGTAATGGAGCATCCTGGAAAATAATAATTTTGTCTATTAGGTACATGTTTTGCATAATGTTAGAATTGGTACCTAATTGGTAACTGCGACTATGGACTTGCAAGTTCATCAGCAAGAAAGTTAAATAATGGCAGGCAAATCTATGACTGTAGACGTGGGTGAGATTAAATCCAATATCAACAGGATTTAAGGACATTTGCAGGATCTGAGGGCTTATGGACAACAAACTCGTACTCGTACAGTGAGCCTAACATAACTTTTTGAAAATAATCCATTTGCACTTTTTGATCGACTTATAGTCGACATTCTGGATTAGGCTGTAGTTGTAGATCTACAAAACTTATCTTTGTTCATCTATGTACATATAATAAAACTGTAAAAGTGTAAACTCTGTGGGTACATTGAAAATATTAAAAAATAAAATAGTAGGGTTGGGGGTGTTACTAGAGATACCGAACCCAAAAATGTCTTTAAATTTTTACCCCGGGATCGCGGGCGAAGCCGCTGTCAGAAGCTAGTAACATAATAAGAATCTAAACTCACCTCCGGTTCACTTTCGCTCTCTGTCTCACTCTCAGTGTCTTGTTCTGTTTCAGTCTCGGTTTCTTCTTCTTCTGATTCTGATTTCTTCTCTTCTTCAGACTCTTCCTCCTCCTCATCATCTTCATCATCTGATCCGCATTCCTTCATCATAGCGGCCATTTTGTCTACTTCGCGTTTCAGCTCCTTGTACTTTCGTTTTTCCTCCCTAAATTTTGAAAAAAGCCATTATTAATTAAATTCAAGTTTATACATCGATGGTTTTGATGCTCAATGATTAGGTAGTTTTGGTTGTTATTAATAGAAAAATTAGGACGGTGTACTTGATAACTATCGTGGAAAAACCTGATTAAGTACCCCCGTAATCGTTTGTCGGAGCGTATTTATAAGGCGTGTTGGATAATGTTTGTCAATTATATGTTCATTGTTGGCATAGGTAAGTGATAGAAGTAGTTATATAAATTAAATAAGTAAGAATAAAATATTCCAAATTGACATTGGGGATTTGATCAGTGTGGATTATGATAAATTCTCAACATTGTTTTTAATGGAGCAAACCAAAATTATTTTAAGCATTTCTAACGTGGGCTATGAAAAGATTGGATGTCAAATAGTAAAATAGAAGACTATTACTAAACTTTGAGGTAAGTATTCTATAATTATGCACATAAACATCGTTGATATAACAAACAATAACAGATAAGAATTTGAAGGAAAATAATAAACTATCAATTCGCGATAATAATTTTGGCTATCTTTATTATCGTGGATAATACTATAAATTCGATTGGAGATAAAAACTTAGATTATCGCAATTGAAGTAATTTTACACGAGGTGAAACGGTTCAAGAATTTGATGTGTCGCGAAAACAATCAGGAAACGAAAAGTGTAGATAAACAAGGAAGAAATGATAACAATTGGAGTTGAAATGATTTGCATGTCGTAAGCTTACACATGTTTCGAATTAACCACTTTAAGGACAGATGGACACCACGATAGATTTATTTAAGGCCATAGCATCGATAAATACTGTAAATCTTCATGACTACCTATCGATTATGCAATACCACGGAAGTGTTGGAATGGTATATATTCAGGAGCTTCTCGTAGTCGAGTCAAAAGTAAAAACACACCAGTTAGTGTTTATTTTCAAGACCTTCCTTATATATTTTTTAATTCATAATACAGTTGGAGGACCTATGGAAATAGGACACGGACAAGAAGCTTTTCGGTGAGTTATAGTCATTAATAAGATACCAATAAGTTTGAGGTGGTGGTGCATATGCTTAGCTTGCACTTAATAGACATGGGTTTTTTTCTTGTTCTTTGGTCTTAGCCGAAGGTACTTACTTTAGTGCCGCCTGTTGGTTCTTCAGTGACATCTTGAAGCCCATTCTCTCTCGTTTCATGTGGTCTTGCTTCTCCTTCAAGTACCGGATTTTGTTTCTCATATTGCGGACTTCTTTTTCCAATCTCTTCTGTTTCTTTTCCTCGCTTTCCTCCTGGAATGTTGTAATAGTGATATATTAGAAATTTGTTAAGATCATTTTTGCTCTAAATTTTATATAATCTCTAAAACGAATTTCGCAAAGGAATAATTTAAGGACACGTGTATTTAATTTTAAAACCCTATTGTTTTTCTTTTGATTTGTAATAATGGAATGTTTGCGCAAAATTTCAGTCAAACATCAAAGGTTGGTAAGAATATTTGCTATTTTTTAATGATATATCTTCGTAGTAGGTATCTACTGTTCTTTCAATTTGTTTTTCTATCTTACGCAACATGTCGATCATGTCCTGTCTATTCCTAGGTACTTTTCTTAATAGATTTCATTTCTGATTAATCACTATTCATGTCAAGAACAATAGAAGCTTCAATTACCTCTTCTTCATCAGATTCCTCTTCCTCCTCGAAGCTATCATCCTTGGTGACGGACAGCTGCTTGATGGCGTGGCTCGAGCGCCGTGAACCCATGCTCGTTGGCATGATGCCCTGTAATTATTGCATACAATGTTATACATAGATGTATTTCATACCTACAAATTATTGTATGACTAATAATAATATAGGTAGTATGAGTGAGTAAATAATTAATTTTGGAACATGATTAGATGAAGAATGATGACACAGAATAGTGATTATAATGTTGGTGAGGTGAACAACAATGAATTTATGCTTAGTGTTTAGTGTTAGTGAATGACGATGAACATTTATTTGAACATACAAAACTAGACCATCATCATCATTATCATCAGCTTAACAAAGGTGATTTTAGACATCCGTTTAAATTGACAAAATATAATAATTATTATCATAAAGCCATACCTCAGCAGCTATGTTAGTATAAGCGTCAGCATTAGTTTTAGCAATATTGTTATTGTTAGCGTCAAGCTTCCTTTTCATTAACGCTTCGGCTTCAGGCGAATTTATTTCAATATTCAACAACTTGCATTCTTTAGCGAAATCAAGTTGTCGTTTTTGGTAAAATGACATAGGTTCTTCAGATAAATCTTCTAGCTCACCCTGGAAATTGTTAGTGTAAGTGTTAAATAGGTATTTGGTACCTATAAAAGTTTTTGGAACGCATAACCGTCCCAATAAAAAATAGTGTTGCAAAACAAGATTAATTTATTATATCCTATTTGAAGTATTTTGACTACAGCATTAAAGTTAAGATTATAACGATCTCTTACCGACATAGCTTGTTCCAGCTTCTTTTCTAACTCTGCATTCCTTCTCTTGACTTCTTCCAACTCTGTCAGAGCAGTGTCCCTATCTTCTGCGGCTTGTAAGTATTGTTTCTCCAAATTATCAGCATTTTCTTTCGTCTTCTCTACTTCCATCTTTAGGTTATTTACTAGTCTTTCATCGTAGGCATCAGTGACGGAGATCACAGTCTTGTGTTGTTCCTGTTTGATGAATGCTCTTTCTCTTGCTAACTCTGCTTCTAAGTTTGCTATCCTTGTTAAAAGTCGCTTATTTTCTCTCTCTTGAGCCTCCTTGTTCCTGTAGAGTGTACAAATTTTTGATTATAGTATTTTATTGCCTAATTTGTTTACTATTTTATGATGACTAATGTGTCAACTTTTTTCTGTACATTATTGTTATATACTGTATTCTTCTATTATTATTATTACTATTATATCTTAGACTTATTTCGCTAGCAACGCCTTTAGGTTATCAAGTGGCAATAGTATTGCAATACATTTTGCAATGATTAAGTTTTCCTTACCTCAGTTCAATCGCCAGCAACTGCTTTGTAGACTGCAGATCATCTCTGACCTTGTCGATGTCGTCCATTTCATCGATGTCTTCCTCTTCAGGTGGCAAGACACCAGGTATCTGAAATTCATAACATATTTTTTTAATAACTTTTATTCGTATCATACCTACATACTTATATGCATCGATATACGTCGCCAACCATGTTCGTCATTTACAGTCACTGGTTTATATACTCTTTCGATTTCCCATTTGCGACTCACTGTAGGGTCGCGTGTCATTTATAGAGTAATAAAACTGTGACAGTTATAACTAAGTAGTAGTAAGCCACTCTTGACTATAAATAACAAAGAAAAAGACTAACAAGAACCTAGATCATCTATAAGGGTCTAGTAGGTATAGGTTAAAAGTAATTTGTCTACTTACATGTGAGTTACTAGCCTCAGCTGCAGCCAGGCCGACTCCAGAAGGTGACGCAGCCAGATTAGCTTGCGACATACTCTTCTGTACTTGCTCCTCAATTGTCATCTGTCTTCTGAACTTCCTCAAGCCTTCCAAATTTGGTTTACTCCTGTCATTGGTCTTTGTCTTCTTTAATTTAATTCCCTTTGAGATCTCTTTAAGCAAAGCATTGTGTGAGTTAGGCTTTTCTGATTCGAATATGAACTGTCCTTTGTTCTTCACCACTGCTGATCTGGCGATGATCGGACTTGACCTGGAATTTGATGGTTGTACTGTTAGTCATTATATTAAGTTTTAGCCTATTGTAATCAGAATTAGTTATTTCTTATTTGTGCGCTTCAGAAAGAGTTATGCACTGGTCTGTACATTGGCTATTTTTTTATTTATCATGTTTGTGATTATTAATGCGTAATACTAATCTCTTATTATCTTTATGTTGTTATTGCACCACCGAATTATTCGTTGCTAAATCTTTAATCTGGTTATCAACTTATATTGCAAACAGCTATAGGTATTGTAAAAATAATTGCACAATACAAAAGTGTTTGCCTATTGCAACAACAATTTGTGCAATCATTGAAGAATAGCATCGTGCCTATGATCCCGGAAGGAGTGGCGGCTGCTGTTATTATACAGTATACACACAAGAAGAACAGCGGACTAGCCTATGGCATAGAACTCTATTTTTGACCCAATATTCGACACAAAATTCAAGACGTCTTGGTTGACAGCAGTCACGTTTGCAGACACTTTAATTTGATTAATTAATGAAAGTTTAATTCCAAATATTATTAATGCGAAAGTTTATAAGGACGTATGAATGTACATTTATAATTCTTTCACACAAAAACTAATAATTGGATTAAGATGAAATTTGGAACAGAAGTAGACTAAGGTCTGGTATACATAGCCTACTTTTTATCCCTCAGGAACGCGAAGCCACCGGCTGAAGCTAGTAAGTATATGAAATCTTGCTGCTAGTGAACTTTGCTTACCTGTCATTACAAACAACATGTTTCAACTTCTTTCCTTGTTCCACTTCCTTCATCATGTCTGACCAGTCTGGTCTCCTCCTAGGCCTGCTGCGGAGCTGTTCGATCCTCTTCAGTTTATCAGGGTCTAAAGGTGACTTCTTGAACTCTGGTGGCGGGGGCATCTTAGGCGGCATGGGCGGTGGCATCGGTGGTGGTGTGGGCTTCAGTAAACCTTTTTAAAGCAATGTGTAGGTATTGGTTAAGTAGGTGTAACATTTTTGATAGACAGAGATTAGATGTGAATGAAATACATTACACTATCGTAAACAAATATATAGTAAAGATACATCTTCATTGCATTTAAGTACATATGTTATTTTGATTATTGTTCCAACCGAAGTGCTTTCTTATAGACAATTAGTATTTTGCATAGACATTTAATATCTGTTATAACGTAATTTTGGTACTTTATCTTAATAAAGTCTTATATATAAAAAAAAAAATATCTTAATAAAGTACCAAAATTTTGATCACAATTTTGATTTTGACTCCTGTAGTCACATTTAACGAACAAAAATCACCTTTAAACAAATTTCCCTGCGGATCCTCTTCTGTATCAGCCATTTTTAAACTAATTCACTGAACACTTCTTAAAGAATACACTTAAAAACTATCTACATAAATGATATCACAATTCTCAAAACACAACACAACACGGGATAGTTCGGGATAGACGCGCTTTGCAATAAGTGTGCATGTTAACTGAAGTCTGGGTGCATTTACACCTGATCAGCGCACGCGACGTATGCGGAACTGCACGGTACTATTTTGGACCGCATTTAGACCACAAATTAGACGGACACACAAGAGATCAAAAGGTAACGATGTGGTTAGGATGCAACACTCGAGAGGGACATTCTTGAGAGGGACATATAAATGTGTATTGGTGACTGTTTAGATTGAAATGGAACCGTTAAATAGCTGAAATATGAACAAGCCAAATCTCTTTAGAAATGTATAATGGCAAATTGCATAAGCTAAATGTCGCAAATCTCAAAGTTTGACAGAGATGTCCACAACGAGAGAGTCATTTGTGTGCTGTATGTTTTCATACTAGTTATGAATTCCATAGTTCCCTTTATTGGAGGTGATAAGCAAGACATAATTGAGACATATGATGTTTGTAATAACTTCTACCAAAATATTGCGTAGGTTTTAGAAGAAGAAAAGTTTGAACTATATCAGTCTACATTTTGGTGACATAGAGACGAGGATCAAATTGGTGGAACTTAAAAAAATCTACCATTTTAGAAATATAGAATAACCATTTTAATCAGTCAATGAACTTTAAAAGTGGTGTATTAAAATGGAAATCGCAACAAGCACGTAGGTAGGCTATACTAAAAACTAAGACTGAAGATATTATCATATCTGAAAACAATAATCTCATAGTTATCAGACATTGCGCAGTGCCAACGTCGATACAGATTGATGTCACAGCTAGCGATCGGATGTGATCCAACAATCTATTAATATTCAAGAAAGCAGGCACTACTGTGTCAATGTTGATGTCACAACCAAGCAAAAAGAGAACTTTCTTTGTCCATTCTATTCTAGATCCAATTGAGTCATGAACTAGGTACTAATTTCTATATTAATAGATTTGATACGATCTTTGTTAATTATTTTCTTAAGATCGTTTCTGAGTGTGAAAATAGACATTGATTAGAAATATATAGATAACGTTGTTTGTCCTGATAACTACAAAATAATTGTCGAAAATTATTAGAATTTATTTTGGTTTCATTGATTGTTCTCTGTGACAAATTATTTCGCATGCTATGTTATTATTGGTCCTTTTGTAACCGTAATACTGACACGATGATATTATTCTCGGAATAATACACTAGCTAGATCAATTTTATTGGAAATATCTGGAGTTACAAAAGAATGTGGATTCTCGGGGCTGCATGCATACATAACCAACCATAGTAGAATTTAATCAGCCAGAGTATGGATAGATCTGGCAAAGAAGAAGCGTGCTACCGGGGTTAACCAGATAGAGGAAGATTAGAACGTAACGGCTTTTCCGCAATCAATACCTTACTTTCTGTTGAATAAAATAGAACTTTAAATAATACTCACTTCTCAAGCTCTCATTCTTGGTGAGTGTATGACCCTTAGGCACCTCATTGTTGAGGGTTTTGTCAATGTTTTCCTTGACACGCTCATGCAGGGGGTCCCGCCATTTCTTGACAGGTACGTCATCCTTTGACGGTTGCTTTTGAATCGGTGGTTTGCGTGGTGGGAGCTGGAAACCAAAATATGTTAATATTTTAACAAAGGAGTTAAGGAAAATATAAACTGTTATAGTGTTTCTGAAAAATTGTTATATCTATTTACGGTCAAACAAAACAATGAATAGAATAGAAAAAAGGAACAGAAAAAAAAATCTTGTTAAGGGAGACTGTTAGGGAAATTAATACAAATTCAACGCAAATTAAAAAAAAATAGGTAGGTATTAAGATAAAGTTAACTCATAAGATAAAAGCACTTGGAACAGTTATCCATTACCTTTGAAGGCGTCTTCTCTAGCGGTGGTTTAGTGGCCATATCTGAGTTTTCTGATTTTTCTACAGCTTTCTCAGAGGCTTTCGGCTCAGATTTTGAGACCGGTGGCTTGGGTTCTGGCTTTGCAGGCGCAGGTTTAGACTCCTGTTTTACAGGCGTTGGTTTAGGTTCCTCTTTAGGAGGTATCGGTTTGGGTTCAACCTTTTCAACAGGTTTTAATATTACCTTTTCAGGGGCTTTGGGAATTGGTTTCTCAGCTGCCTTAGATGAAGGTTTTTCATTAACTACCTTAGTTATAGGTTTAGTATCTTTGCTCGTAACCTTATTATTAGTCACTGGTTTGTCATTTACCGTGCTATTTGCTTTGGTGGGACCATTTTTCTCTGGTCTTTTGTCTACTATAGTCACAGACTTTTCTTTAGCTTTGTCGTCTATAGTTCTAACACTTCTTAGAGTTGGTCTATCTGTTTTATCGTTAGAGGGTTTGTCCTCTGATTTTAAAGCGCTTTTGAGTGCAGGTTTAGTGAATTTTGGTTTTTCATCGGCTGGTTTCGCTGCCTGATCGGCTTGTTTCGCTGCTGAAGGCTTGACTAGCTTTTCTTCAATGGGCTGTGTCACTCCGTTTTCTGGTTTGTCTCTGATCGTTGACTGCTTTTTCAATACAGCTGTAATATTAATAAGGGTTTGGTTAATGGTACAGTTTATTAAAAAATATCACATACATATACTATTGAAACACTAATGCAACAGTATTTCGATGTGTTCCATTATAATGAAAACTTTTTGTCGTAAATTTAACCAAATAGAATATAAACAGAACAATTTCCTTCTAAGACAGTCTCTATTTTAACGCTAATCGCTAATTAGCAGTAATTAGCAAAATGTCTACCAACAATTTACTTAATGTGAATTCCTGAAAGCTGAAAAGCTAAAACATGAAGCACGAACAGTGAAATTGATTGTAGCACGTGTTTCGGCCCCGACGCGGTGCAGTTTGATGGCATTCGCGGACGTAAATAAACATGGCGTTTGCCAAGATGGCCGACCTTCGCTATTTTAGCGCGATTACATGTCAAATTCCCTATTAGATGGCCAAGCGAAAATATAGGCTCGGTATTTTACTAAATAATGAGAATTTGGGATACGTTAAGTAGATTGTTCAGTTTATTACAGTCGCCAAAATATTCTTGGCGCCAACTACCAACGTGAAAACATTTTATAATTGGTATTTACAAACTGAGTATTCTTCTTTGTTGTAGCTACTACCGAATGTTGCATTAAGTGCTATTTATTTACACAAAAGCATCTACGTTATGATAATTGGCATACTAACAGACGGTAATTTCTTCGAATTCTTGTTTACATCGTAAGTAAGCGACGGCTAGTAATTTTAACAGTTAGAAGAAGCATTGCATTTTAAAATTAGCATTCTCTTATGGTTTTAAATTACGCATTAACATAGCGTTCTTATAAATCAGCGGCTAACCCCAACATCGCCGTTTATTTTGTAAAAAGTCTCCTCTCTATAAATATCGCGGATGGCGGCGTCGTGCTCTCGAAATATCTTCTAAACATCGTCGACTTTGAACACGTCACGTTTCAAACGACCGCACAAGCTTTTTCAATTCCATTTTATTTAAAAATTGTGATTAATATCTCTGTTTTTATAAAAATGTCGTTTATATTTTAGAAAATAATAAAATAAAGTAAAAACGGTTCTCTTTTGCAACCAAAAGCTTTCGGATTTCCTCGACCAAATGTCTGGCTACGAATGTTTAAATTGTTTTTTTTTTGTTTTAATAATAAGATTACACGGAGATGCTTTGAAAAAAATCCATTGTTTATTTTATGACGTTGTCTAGCCACGTTTCTTTAACTCGATGCTGGCAGGAAATATTCAGATCATTAAAACGTAATACCCGATTTTATAGCGCTGTCCAATACTGAAAGCTTTTTATTTTTAGTGGCACGAACTTTATTGCACGGTCATGTAAACATATGAAAATTTGCATACAGGAACTAAAATGGGGATATTGATTTACCGTTTTGTATGGACACTACAATAATTTTGGTCTGATCACTTGAGACACGTTTCCACTGGTTATTGCACTGGTAATATTCGACCGAAATTCGGAATTATACTGTTGAGAAACGCGTGGTTCTCGATGAACGAACACGTCACTCGCTCCCGAACTCCAGACTAAGAAACTTGTGAACGATTTCGGAGAGTCAATTATTCAGAGCCCGTGTCTCCTGCCAAAGTTTCGGTCAGGTGGTTGACGTCACCGTGTGCTTACACATATGTAACAAACACATAAATAAACAGTCACAAATATTGTGCACTGCGCGTGAAATATTGCTTTCACGTTGTAGCGTCGGAAAAAACACGCGGTAGCGGAAATGAGTGAGACTTTAAAAAGATGGTATCTACTGCGTGGGATAATTAAAGTCCTTGATGTACCGTTGCTTCCTGTCGTAGGATCAGACGAGTGTAAATAGTAGCGGAAGATCAAGCTTTTTTGACGTTCGCAATGGACTGGCCGCTGAGAAAGTCGTAAGATAGTAAACATTTACTAAAAATCATTAATACAAACTAGTTTTTCTTAGATTACAATTTTCAGTCTTAAGGTTACTTTATTTCATGAATTAATAAATTGAATGTTTGTATGTGTTAAGCACCCACATAACCAGAGGATATGAAGTGCGTAACCGGAAAATGATTTTGTTCGATTACAAGCGAAAGGAATAAATTCATAATACAGTAGATGGCAAATTTTTATTTTAATGTCTTCTGGTAGAATATTTAAACAGTAGATACGTATTTTTTTTTTCTTACGGATACGAATAGTTTTGAAGATACAGTGAAACCTGGTTAAGTCAGACATCAAGGGACCTACAATGTCGTTTCACTTATAGAGGTATTCCACTTACCCAGTGTCTCAGATATACAGGTATAAATAAATATCTGTCTCATTTACAGAGGGTTCCATTAATAGAGGAATTATGTGTGTAATTTGTGGTTAGAATAAGAATGAGTAAATAAACAATTTTATCTCAGTTACAGAGGTTTATGCATGTAAAATTTACTCGCTGTCTCAGTTATAGAGGTAACTATGATAAATCGAAAGAACAAATCCCAGATATAGAGGTTTACCTCGTCCCACTAACAGAGGTAATTCAGTGCCAAAGTGTTGGGACATCAGCATGAGTTCCAGTTCCGGAGGTTTCTCACTTATCCAGGTCCCACTTAACCAAGTTTCACTGTATATTGATTTGAAATATATCATGACGTCACTTTTGAGTACGATTTGTACTCTAAAATGACGTAGCTACCTCCCACTCCTAAACTTTGATTCGATTTATCTAAGTATTGTTTTCTTATAATTAATTTTAATTACCCTTTCATCATCCCTATTACATTATTAACTATTAATAGATAACCTTCCTATCCATGAAAGTTATGCAACAAAACAGAATCAGCTGCTGATGTTCAACAGTGCGATATAAAGTAAATCAAACAATTTTGTTTGCAGACGCTACTAGAGGCGGATGTGACGTCACTTAAGGCGCCAAATACATGTTGTGGCGCGAAATATAAAGAAAAGATTTTCCATGTTTTACAAATGTGTTGACATCGTGGGTGACAAGAAAATGATCTTGAATGTGAACCTACGAAATAAATAGAGGGATCTTTCATGTTTTTATCACTTTTGCTGCCGATAGAAGATAATCTAGATAACAAAGTAAATGATGATGATGTAAAACATTTGTTACCGTTTATGTTATGAGTCTCACATTGACTTTTTTTACAACTTTTTGCCCCGCTCTATTACCCCGTATTCCTGGGTTCGAGAGTGCGTTTACAAACATATAAGTTTACATACACATTAGACCCAGAATCGAAATAACAATTTGTGGATCACACAAAGAGTTGATCCGTGCGGGAATGGAACCCGTTACATATTGCCAACCAGTTGCCCAGCCACCACGCCTACGAGTATCACTGCACCATACTCGTAGTAGGGTAAGACTTTTACTATATAAGCAAGATGCTCAGTGCCGCACTCCATCATATTACCAAAAACGGGCGATTTACTACTAATACATACGTCTGCCTGCTCTTTCTGCAAATAAAAGGTGGATTTCAAGTGTGGGAGACCCGTGCTTCGGCATGCATGGGCCGGCTCGACCGGCGTGATACCACGACCGAGCTGAAGACTGACGTGAAGCGACGCTTGTGTTGAGTTTCGTCGTGTGAGGTTACCGGACGCCCAATTACCCCCCTTCCATCCCCTATACTCCCCCCAAACCCTGAATCCCCAACGATCCACAAAGTCCTAATTCCCAAAAGGCCGGTAACGCACTTGTAACGCCTTTGGTGTTCCAGGTGTCCATGGGCAACACCGATTGCTTACCATCAGGTGATCCGTCTGCTCGTTTACCGGTTTGTGCCATTAAAAAAACATACGATATTCTGTGACACAAGTGTACACACACTGTGTACCAAGTTCCTAATATCAGTGCGTCCAAGGAAGCTCAAAGACCAGACTTTGGTTCATCGATTATTGAAATTCCTTATTGGAAATTCAATCATCAATTAAAATATTATACCTAATGACGTTTTACGATTGCACACAGGAAATAGCCAATACGATAACACATCGATATCTCTAATCACTATATCTCTAATTGTTGCCAAATTTGTACCTGGTTTTATTTGATTATTACATTAATGTGATGAATGTAATCGGGTTAGGAAAAAATATATAAATTGGTAGGTATAAGTACCGAACTATTTAAATTTAATAATTTTAAAGGTACTGTAAACGTCGCACCATGGGTTACAATGCCTTTCTTTATGTGTCCCAAAGGGCTATAGAAATAAGCATATAAAAAATTTAAGTCTCAACTAGGCTATGTTCCGGTATGCAGTTTATCGGTTTTTTTACACATAACATAACATCACGCATTTTATCCCCTGTACAATGTAACAACCACCTTTCACTATTTATGTTATGAATCCTATGTTATACGGAGTGAACCTATTGCCGTAGCCGACTAAGCTAGGCTATTAGACCAACCACATATGCACATCTGGTAAGTTATAAGAATAATAATGAATAGGACATAATATGCACGGTATATGGCAATAGGTTCACCCCCTATTACATGGGACTCATAACATAAATAGTGAAAAGTGACTGTTACATTGTACAGTGCCGTAAATCCGTAATGTGCACCTCTGCGTACCCCTTAGGGGATAAAAGATGTGATGTTATGTTATTATTTAATATGTAGAGATACTGATTGCCTTTTGTACATTAATTTTTCCTAAAAATATTGTAGAAGTGGTCTGCACACTAAGAACAATGCCATGCTTCGTACTAGTGAGAATTTTGGTATTGAAAATCTAATAATATACCATATCCGGGTCGTAACACGAGACTGAATGGTAATATTTTAGAATGAGTACCTAGACTTTTATTTGTATCTTTCACTGAATCCCATCTCTAGTTTATCTACTATTTCTAATACAAACAGTAATTTTTAACCATATACGTTTTAGCTTATAATCATCACCTAATCTTTATTTTTTTTTCTGTAATCATAACCCTGACTGCGACTTTGAGGTTGTCATGTTAATAATACGTCTCTATCCGCTTCAAGTGCAAAGCTTAGGATGTGTTCAGACTACGACATACGTTAATATCACTCTTAGGGACATCGCACACAATAACGGCATGGATACGACACGGCTGTGGTTGCTACGGCACGGCGTTCCGTGCTTTACAAAAAAGCTGTATGCGCGCATCCATTATTTTAAAATGAAAAGTTAGGTAATGTAGTTACTAATTAATTACTTATTTTCGGATAGTTAAAGGTTTCCTTTTACTGAAGTTAGCCTTGAAGTACCTATTATTCGTTACGAGCAATCTTAATGGAATAGAACTCTAAAGATGCGATTATTTAAAGACATTCTAAGTCAACTTAATTTCAAAACTTCAGAAGACCCTCAATGAAACTGAAGAGTTCGTGTCAGAACTAATAATTAAGTAATAATTGGGTAGTTTCTAGGGTACCAAAGTTAAAAATCTAATTAGTCCGTCAGTTAGATAATGAAAAATATTAGACACGTTTTTTTTATTTTCTCGTATTAAGTTGCAATACTTAGATAAAATGGCGCTAAGTTTAGAAGTAGGAGGTCGTTACGTCATAACGTGCTACAAAATGCGACACGCTGTGACGTCACACGACATTTCAAATTAACTCGTCGAGTACCGGTTTTGTAGACACAATTATAGAACAATAGGTTGCGGTCACCGGTGACCGCTTGGTGTTTGACAGTTTAATATATCGTCGAAAATATTTAATTTTGTGACAAAAGAAAAAATACGTGTCTATAGTTTTAAATTAATGTACCAGACGGACATTAAAATAAAATTTAGGAAACTACCCTATTATTAGACTTAAAATAAAAAATGGCTACAAAATTTCTCGCTTACAAGTGGCAATGGTCTACCTACACCAATCTGTACTGGCTCTTAGTTGCAATTAGTAACAGTTAGCGCACCATGTCCAATCTGTTTGGAAGTTTGCCTACTCGTGACTGTCGTGAACAATAAATGTAGGCCAAAGTTCATTTGCTACTATGAAAAGAGCTTTTGATAAAAATCCGAAACATTTTGTCTTCCGCGTTTATGTAAAAAATTCAAAGATTTCGTTTTATTTTCGTTTGAGTAAACAAGATGTTGACTTGAGAATTTTCAAATAGACAAAGTTTTAAAAACCAGGCGTCAAACAATGATTATGTTTCGCTGTTTGAGTGAGGTTCCGGAGTCTCGTCTGTTAAGAAAGTATTGCTGTTGAAGTCCCCAATCAGAATTAAATTAAGCCAGTCAAGATCTTTACTGACAACTGTGAAGTTGTAGAGTCTGTCAAGCGAGTCTAGTCCCATGAGAAAGGCGGCAAATTAAAAAAATCTTTCAGGTGTTAACTTGAAATTTTGATAAAACAAACATAATTATTTGAAATAAATAAAAAAAACAATCAATAAGTTTTCAGCGTGCTATATCAGTGTTGACACCTGAAAGATGTTTCATTTGCCGCCTTTTTCATGGGACTAGACTCGCTTGACAGACTAGCTGACGCAGAAATACTCAAACGCCACTCAAACTCTAGTCGCGCTTAAGAATAGTTCTGTCACTACAAATTCTTTGTAAAATGACAGCGATGGCACGATAATTAAGTACAACTTAAAATTGAGTAGCCTTTCAGTAGTCGGGCGTTAATTTAACAAAAAACGTGGCAGCAAGTCACGGGATGAGATGAATGCTAATACTGATATTATCTTTATTAAAGCGTGGGATGAACACATACGTCGCTAGCTATACGCCGTTGTTATGTTTATATTTTGTTCTAATATACGTCAGATGGAAGGAACTGGAGTAAAAATACGATTCTTACGTTTTTTGGAGGTCGAATTAAAGTCTGACATAAATAGGAATTAGCTAAGTGGCCGTTCATTCAATGGATTGCTTTTAGTGAATTTAATCATGAAGTTTGGTAATGAATTCTAGATGAAACGCTTCGTTTTCTTAATAGGGTGATTAATTCTTTCATTTGGACAACACGTTTATAATATTATACTAGCTTTTTTCAGCAGCTTCAAATATTCAAGGCATTCCCCTATGATAAAAGAAAGTATATGCTTATATGTCATTTCAGATCATATCATCTACCTCTGTTTTATATTTGATTTCGATCTTTTCAGCCGTTTTAACGTAGAGGAGTTGTAACTCCTCTATTTGTCTGTAGACAAATATACAAACTTTTGTATTTATAATACTAGTAAGATAAGATAGTGAGCAGTTTACATCTTTATCCTTCTTTTGCCAGCTTTATATTTACCATAATTATTTTAATAAATTACATAGGAAAACTTAATATTACCGTCAGTACGATTCTGGTATTAACCGAAATCGCACATTTTGGCAGTGTGATATAGATACAAAAATTGACGCCGCAAAAATCAATGACAGGAAATCATAAATTGTTAGTAATCAAGTAACATTGCTACAGAAATATTTTATCAAATGCATTTTATAAATGGGTTAGGCTCCATTAACTTAGATGTACGAGTCACTTCCTATAGACTTTTAGTGTGATGCGGTACTTTTGTATTTAAACTTGGCATGAATTTAACTAAATGTCGCATAAACCATGAGCTATATAAATTTTACACTACATTCATGTCTTCATAAGCATAGTCAATAAATTTAAGATCTTTAGGATTGTTTACTAATTAGAACTTTGACGCTGCATGTTTCTTCATAAGTATAGATAATTATGTTTATACGATTTTCTTCGTAATATTCGTAACTAGCTTCAGTCAATGCAAATGTCTAATTCTATTGAGTGAAGAAAATCAGGTAGATGCAACAAACCAGCTATAGGAAATCGCTATATTTTGACAGCCGCGACACAGGCCGTACCTAGCTAGTGCGGTTGCATATCTGCTTTGGGCTGGTAATAAATTATTATTCTTATTTATGGTGATTTTCACTGACTATACCTAAACCATATCTTAACTAAGAGTCATTTAGCTCTTAAACTTCCTTTAACCTTTAGATGACATTTATAGGTTAGTAAAAATTATAATGCTGTTAAGTGTCACCTGTCTTAGTTTAAAGGTTTCTTTAAATTTAGGAAAAGGTAGTGGCAAGGGATACTACTCTCTCGTATAAATTCTTGAAATTATTGTAAATAACTTACGTTTTAACGGCTTAGCCGGTACAGGAGCGGCTGCAGCGTCATCTATAGAAGCGGTCTTGCTGAGACTTTCCACAGGCTTCAACTTCTTCTGCATCCATGATGGTGGGGCCTCTACATCCTTTTCTTTAACCCACGGAGGTCTGAACGACTCCCTGCGAGCCCCAGTGTCCTTACTCACGTTACCGATAGGCATGGTGATCTGTTGAAAAGTGTTTTTGGATTTGTCAAAGGCCTTTGATTAGGTAGGACATTAAAGTTTTTTTGAGTAAGATTTGGTGCTTTTGTGTTTGTGCTTGGCAATTCTGTAAAGTGGTGTTTGTAATCGTATGATATAGGCATAATTGTAAGAATGATAGAAGTAAGTAATATGTGGTTTGCTGTTTAACTAACACAGGAATGGGCTGAATATGTCCTTTTTGCAAATTTTTACATCGAGGTAAAGCTGACAATTTTGTTATGACTCGCTGGAAAATTCACTTCTGAATAATTTATTATTTGTTAGGTTTTTGTTACATTTATGCGAACATGTTTAATTAATTAATTTTTGATACCTACCAATTTAAAAATCAGAATAGGCATTCCAGTTTTCTTAATGGTCAAAGTCTCACCTAATATTGTTCCAACAATAAAGTATCTACCTACTTACCTACCTATAGATAACATTGCACCAATTGAAAAAGCAGATAGATTAACAATGGTGATACGAAATCATTAATCAAGCAATGCTGACGTAGCGATTCTCGATAAGGGAGTTCACATAGTTTTTTTAGGTATTAGGTATTGTTACAATATCATTGTTACAATCTCTATTACCTATCACAAATTAATTAGCTTCAGCTTACTCTAATGTTTTATTAATCTTGGTTTTTTTTCTATTCCCTAATTTGTTTTATTTATTTGTAATAAGTATTCTTATGAGTATCTATGAGCTATGTTTTTCCATATTTATTTAACGGTTTTATTTAGATTGTCTGTTTGTTTCTATTCTATTCAGTTGAGGCCATATTTCGAAAAACAGGTAAGTCATATAACAAATTGAGTCATTGTTACAATAATTATGATATATTATAGATCTATGTATATAAAAGAAAGTGGTGTTAGTTACACTATTTTTTTAAGTAAAGAACGGCTAAATTGATTAGGATGAAAATTGTTGGGGAGGTAGATTAGAACTTTATAATATTTCTTTATTATTTAGAACCGAAAATCACGAACGAAAACGGGGAAAAAACGGGATTAAGCGTACGGATTCGCGGGCAGAAGCTTGTATTGAGAAGGAGATATCGAAGTCGCCAATGAGATTAAGAATTGAATTCGGAGAAAGATTGTAGGTAATCCTTCGAAAAATCTTTTGCTGACTACAGTCAGCATTTTTCTTTTTCCGATTTCGACAATTAGCCGGCAATTACGTACGTTTAATCCTCCTAATTGATCAACGCAATTATGAATCTGATGAAAGATATGAATCTACAAAGTAAAATAATTTCTTGACCATTACTAATCAATGTAATCTTTCAAATTAATCACTTTATCACATTATATCCCTGATTATATCCATTTTGCATACCTATATCTTGTGGAATACGTGCGATCACCCGTCTACTTTTGATAATCTGGATATCAAACTGATAACAAGAATGCCCCGTTTTCGCCTAACTTTGTCATTTGTGACGTCAATGTCCTGAATGACACATTAGCTCCTTTTTAATGACACATTTGGGTCGTTAGGCGAATTACTCAACTTGAGATTTTATACAAACTTTCAACTCAAGAGTTATGGAAACTATAGTAGGTATGATTTTCACAAAACTACCACACAAACTGAAAGATACGCACATATAGCTGCTAACTTAAAAAATATTTTGAAAATGTCCTTATTAGACCGACTGATATAGGTTCATATACGTACCCACTTGTCTATGTATTCTCTAGGTATGTCTTGTTAGGTACATAGTGTGTATAAGTACCAAGTTTTATTAAAATCGGTTCAGTAGTTTCCATAATTCATGACTTGATAGTTTAAATGGAAATCTATGCTGAGTAAACGTTCTTAACAAGTGCTTATAATAGGAATTTCAGTGACACTATAAATAAATTTTCCCAGGTCATTGAGATAAGTCACTGAGTGCTATTATGAGTGTATGATGTTAGAAGTTGCTTCCCATAAATGAAAATGCTTGCCAAAGATGTGAATATGACTTGTGTAAGTTGTGTAGTACGTCAGTCTGAAGTGTGACTAGCAAGTCATTAGATGGAGTGAATAATCATATCATTATTTCCACTGCACCCTTGATAATATTATGTAATATTAGACATTGTATTACTTTCAATGGATTTAGCTGACATTAAAAGACCTATAGTTAATAGAATTGCAAATATTTTAGTTTAAAATTCAATCTAGTGTACAAGATTTAATTTATCGATATTATCTGAACAATTTTGTTTTTTTAAATGTAATTCTTTTTTAATTTTTCTTTTCAAATATATTTCTGCAAAGTCAACAAAATGTTTACAAAACCAACAACACGGTTAGTGCGGTGGCTGGGCAACTGACTGCCATGCAACGTGTCGCGGGTTCGATTCCCGCACGGAGCAAATCTTTGTGTGATCCGTAAATTGTTGTTCTGGGTCTAGGTGTCATGTGTATGTGAACTTGTATGTTTGTAAACGCACCCACAACACAGGAGAAAATCTTTGTTGAAAAAAAAAACTATTAAAAATTTTTGAAAATTACGAACTAACTAATACGTAGGTACTAAGACAAGTATTTTAAAAATTCGAAAGTGTTCGGAAATTATTTAAAAATACTGGTCTAATATTAAAATTCTGTTTTGTACAGAAAACATTAGCAAGGAATAGTTTGTACCAAGTATTTGAAGAATGAATTATACGAAACAATGCTATGATGAGAGCAGGTGAAACAAGCCAAGGATTGCGTTCATTCATTCAACGAGACTGGATATTTTTAACACAACTGTCATAAACTTCAGCAGACATAGGGGCGGTATAAATACTCTAACTGAAGAGCTAGAATACTAGAATAACCTTCATTCCCATAATTCGTTTAGGACTGAACGATTACAAAGAAAAAAAAAACAACAAGTACTTATTTCTCTACATTCTAATTCGAAAAATGCTGCTTTTGCTAAACAATAAACAGACATCGCCGTAACCGAGCACGCTACTCAAACTCAAACTAGTAGAGCTTTTCTCAGTATATTCACGTGAGTAACCCATCATCCTTAGTTAATCTAGTATGTCTCACGAAACAACGATATTTATTATTACTAAAACAAACAACAAACATCCAATAATAATGTTTAAGTTGGAAAATTCAATAATTTTTTGCCCAATATTTGCAATGCGACGTAAAAGGTATTATGGTATAATCTTTTATGCCGTGGTGGCATTTAAAATCATAATTTATAAATTTATATTATTTAACTAGCGGACCCAACAGACGTTGTCCTGCATATCCACTTGAATGTATAAACAAAAATTCATTCAAATTAGTTCAGCTGTTTAGGATAAATAACCTAAACATCGACTGCAGCGCCATCAGCCGGGCTGATTTGTGAATCTGCTGATCTTGAACACATACAAAAAAATTCATCAAAATCGGTCCAGTCGTTTGAGAGAAGTTCAGTGACATACACACTCACAGAAAAATTATATATATGATAGATATATACTGAAACCTTCCTCAGAAATTATACTAATCTGTTGATAATACCTCATAAAAGTCCTTACGGCAGTTAATGAGGTTATCGCGTTCATACAGATAGACGTGAAAGGGACTCTCTTCACAACATGTACAATATGAAAATAGAACATTGTTATTTTCTCTATTCCATATTAAAAATCACGGGCCCCTTCAACAATCTTGTAATATTAAAAGCGGGAATATTACTGTTTCTGTTATTATTTAATTCGTTAGTTTATGTGAATGCCACGACTGTTGAGTCATACAAGACTATTTCGAGTTTGTTTGGAGTATTAGAGTATTAGCCAAACAGTGCAGACGAATGATATTTAAGATTTGGTGGGGTTACAATTCTTATCGCCGTACTCAGAGTCATTGAATGGCTACTTAACGAAGTCCTCGCAATAGGCATGGCGACTATTTTTTAATTTTTTGTCCGTCTTTTAGATATTTTAAAAACCTTCGATACGTATTTTTTCTTTTTTCTCGTATCCAAAAAAAACATGTAGATATTTTGAGTTAAAATGACGCGTGACGTCACAATTAGGTACGATTTCTCCGTAAGTGTGACGTCAACACCCCCCACTCCCTAACTTTAATGCGGAATAACTACGTATTCTTCTGTTAATTTGATAAAACAAAAAATACGTGTCTGATATTTTCGTGCGATCTTAATGACGGACTAATTACTTTTTTGATTTTTTTACCCTGTCGACACGCCTATTGTTATAGTTTAATTACTCGTATGTCTCCGAGTATCGCAGTTAGTGTCCTCTTTGTTTTAGATACAAGATGTTTTCTTTATTCTGTTTTAAGTCTCATTACCGACTTCAAGAGAAAAGAGAAGGAACTACGTTCAGATATTTGTTTTTTACTTTGTTTTGGACACAGGAATATTTTTTTATTTTGCTGGATGCATATCGCTTCTAACCGGCCTATCTGAAAGTCATTGGGTGGAGGCCTATGTGCAACAATGGACGTCCTATGGCTGATATGATGATGATGATGATGAAGAATCCTAATCCTTGGTATTGACTGGTCTATGACGATAATTCAATTGAATATGTAAGGGAAGGAATCGCTGAAGAAGTTCAAAGTATTAATCTTAGCATAAACTACAAAGTACGTATATTCATGATAATAAAAGAGAAAAAAAGAAAAATCTTAGTAAATAGGTAAGTTCCTATAATTACATCTGGACTACTTTTGCAAAGCATCAGGTGCATGAACTAAATTTCAAAAGTCAAGTGTCAGACACTTTTTTTTTATTTTGACAAGCGACGAAAGTTGTTGAAAAAGTAAAGTTCTTTTTTCAAATGATTATGAGTACCTACCTACAACTACTAATGTTTTTTTTAGTAATTCAGCGTCGACAGACACATGTAGAAATATTTTTTTGTAAGAATACTTAGAATAGTTTACAATCACCTTTAGTAATAATTCGGAATGTAAAAAAAGTAATAAAATTATCCTAAAAATTTAATCATGTCTTTTATTTCACACCTAATGTACCATAGATAAATAATTGTTAATATCTCTTCAAGACAGAGTCAGATTCTGTTATTATCTAAAATAAAAATTATTATGTCGAAAGGTTTAATCATATGAAGAATTTAATTAGTCTGCTACCTACATAGGCAGTACGATTATTACAAAAATGGAAATAGAAATCAATTTCTCTATTCGTTTCCAGCACGTTAAAATTTTCCATTTTCAACATGGAAATCAACTTTTCCATATTCAACACGGAAATCGAAAACCCATACCCAGCAGTAAGAACTGTAAAAATGTCTACAAACCATGAATTTCTTTAATGTTTTATTACAACGTAATCCGGTTAAGCTACGCCATTTTTATTTCAACAAGATTTGTATACAGCGTGTTACAATTATGTGCTGTGGGTGTCTTGGCATGGACTCCTAACCTTTTACTAGTGATAAATTAAAGTCACATTCAGGGAATGAGGTGACTTGTAGTCTTACGTATTTATGAAATATTTCACGTTTCTAGTATTCTGATATGCGAAAATCGAATCTAGGGCTAAGGAAGTAGAGTTTAATGTTGCATTAATTATGTTAATATTGATAATGATATGACTTTAATTACGCTTTTATGATCTACTCAGTAAGGCTGAGTTTTCTAGTTAAAGTTAAGACTTGTAATTAGAATGAATTAATGAAATTGTTTGACTGATTTTTTGTCTGGTATTCAAAGTTTTCAAAGATTTTGCAAACTGTTCTTGTTAAAAATAACTAAAGTTGAAAAGGTGTTCTATCTTATTTTTGTGCCTTGCTTTTGCTCCTACTCTCTTACTTCCCATTTCTTTCGTATGAGAAGTTTAGTAGAGGTTTTAGGGTACAGTGAGGCTGTGCAACCGCTTAGGGGCACCGTACCACAGGTCGCAGGCCGCGGCGCCCCTATTCGTCCGGCGCCTTTTTCTAATTCTACATACATAATTTCCCACAGGCGCCTTAGAGTTCTTTCACTCATAATTATCTTCAACATTCTCTTGGATATTAATTTCAGCTTCAGTGAAGAAAATTTTTTAACTTTTTTTTAGGTTTTTAATTGTTATTTCATTGTACCAATTGCGTTTGTTCGTATGTATTTGAATTTCAGTTAGGGGGCTCCGAAAACATCTCACCCAGGGCGTTAGTAGTACTAAAACTGGCACTGAAGAAGTTGTTATGATTTCCTTGAGAATATTGAAAGAAACGTTACGATATGCAAGAATTGAAACATCACAAAACCAATTTACAATATTACGTCTACATACAAAAAGTACCGAAAGCCGGAACAATTACCTAAGTACGTTATCAATACAAGAAATCACATAGTATCTTGCCGCTAAAATCTATATCTTCGTAATATTTCTGAATGCATAATCCCAACTACCTATGAAATTTCTTTTCATTAAAATAGTATAGGTAGGTACCTATTTACTAAAACTTATCGAATAATTGCATTTCCTATTCAATAAATTAGTACTGGCAGCTAAAAACAAAGAATTGTCAACTGAAAATTTAAATTTCAACCGTTACTTATCATAATTGAATGTAAAATGGATGTGAGTGAGATTACATTCTATCCAATTGTGCAGATTATAAAATTGAAAAATACATTCCGCAGATATAACATACAAGAAATGCGGAAAATGATATAAAGAAAAAATTTTTTCATATAAAAAAGAAAATGAAGAATTCGAAATTCAAGTTCGAATTGAATGTTGAAAGGTTAATTAAAGAAGGTTTGAATCGATATTTGAAGAGTTAGAGATAATTTGGTAATGCAAACTCATTATAAAGTTTCAGAACAGCGAGCCATAACAATCCAGCACAGCTTTATCACTTCTATTCTTATTATCTACGCAAATCCCAGTTCTTCAAATAGAATAGATTATAATACTTTCACCAAAATGATCATTTTGTCTTACATTAAAAAAGAAACTCGGAGTGTATTGTGTGTAGTGTTATTTAAATCACAAAATACGCACTTCAAAATTCGAACACCGTCACTCAATCAACTGATCATATTTTTTTTTAATTAATACAATCTGTGGCTCGGATATTTCGGGGACGCGAAACCGGGAGCGCGTGTTGCCCGCGACTAGCTTCGGAATTTCGTCTGTGAACAATTCCTCTGGAACTTATAAATAGGTGCGTCGAAGAGACGTGTACCAAAAGTTTTAGTTAACGTACCTACACAGACACACCATAGATATCATACTTGGCCAGTCTCGTTGTGAATGCGAGGTGCATGGATTCTGATGCGCTTCATTGATTGGCGGGAAAATGAATTGTCCATTTTATTTCGTTCTTTTTTAAATCGATTGTTTTTTAATGATGGGGTAAGTTAGCTTATTTATGTTTTATGGTTTGTTTTATTAACTACATTATTAAAAAAAACAGTAGATAATAAAATACAGGTACAATATATTTAGTTTTTAGTTCAACTAATGTAATGTGGACAGTTATGTTTGTTAGGACTTTTCCAGTCTACACTTTTTCGGAACGAATATTAAAAAAAATGTAGGTCTGTACTGCGCGTCGATATATTTACATTATAGTATACGTACAATAGTAGTGGTTACAGCTACTGATAATCTCAAAATCGAAGAACCCATTAAATATATTAACTCACTCGAATAAAGTAATTTTCTGCTACTTACATAATATGGATAATTGGATAGTACCTAAGTGCATTAAATTTTAAATATTGTAGGACCCAAAATCGATCCCTGAGAAACACCCTTAGTTAATTTAAGACAAGTTTATTTCTACACAACATGAGCTGTCAGGCGGCTTGATTGAATTCGAATAGGTCAACAAACATTTAACTTTGTTTGCATATTTTGTTTAATGGAAGTAGCTTCTCCATCGCATTTGGTTAAATCTATAATGATAGATGTAAGCATGATGATAAATAAATACATTTTAATGATGTCACTTTTTATTTACTGATTATAATTTTAGATTTCGTGCCTACATACTGTATAAAAATTATAAATATAAACCTATGGAATTGTCTTTTCTATAAAACGATTTTTTTTATTTGTATTAATCGTAGAATCACCCATACCTACAATCAGTGCATCTTGCCAACACAGTGACAGTTTATTTAATTTATATTGAATGAATTCGTCGCCTCCCGTGCAGCTGATTTCTTTAAGAAGGGCATCAATAAACTACCTCTGCGTCGGCAAACATGCATTGATTGTATATATGGGTAATAACTTCAATTAGTACCTACAAATCCTAATCCTAATAATATTATAAATGCGAAAGTAACTCTGTCTGTCTGTCTGTCTGCTACTCTTTGACGCCAAAACTACTGAACGGATTTGAATGAAATTTGGTATACAGATATTCTAGACCCCGAGATAAAACATAGGCTACTTTTTATTCCGAAAAAGGGGTTGTAAGGGGTTAAAAGGGGGGGGGGGAGTTGTATGGGATTTCATAATTTTTAAAGATAAAAACCATGAAACTTTATATTTAAGCACTTGATAAACAATAACAAAACATTTGTTCTAGCGTTTTTGAAATTTCGACCTGTGAGGGGATGAAATAGGGGTTGAAAGTTTGTATGAAGTTCGTCATTCTTGAAGATACCTTACATTTTATATTTAGGCACTAAATAATAAACAAAAAATCGTTTGTTCTAGCATTTTAAAATTTACACCAGCGTGGGGGTGAAATAGGGGTTGCATGTGGGTGTTCGTCATTTTTGGAGATAAAACCATGTAACTTGGTACATAGGTCTCTTAGGATGTGCAAAGTTTTTATATAAGTAGGTACCAAAGGAATTCCAGAAATTGTAACTTTTGTTTTGTATCAATAAAAAAATCGACTTTTGAAGTATCTATCAACGCACAGCCCAAACCGCTGGACAGATTGGGCTAAAATTTGGCATACAGATAGATGTTATGACTTAGGCATCCGCTAAGAAAGGATTTTGATAATTTCCACCCCCAAGGGGGTAAAATAGGGGATGAAAGTTTGTATGAGACTTTGTCAGTTTTAAACCGATCGGGTTGTAATTTGGCATGCAGATAGATGTTATGACGTAAGCATCCGCTGTGATAGGATTTTGATAATTTCCACCCCCAAGGGGGTAAAATAGGGGATGAAAGTTTGTATGAGACTTTGTCAGTTTTAAACCGATCAGGTTGAAATTTGGCATGCAGATAGATGTTATAACGTAAGCATCTTCTAAGAAAGAATTTTGATCATTTTCACTCCTAAGAGGGTAAAATAGGGGGTGAAAGTTCGTATGGAACTTTGTCAATTATAAAACGATCTGGTTGAAATTCGGCGTGCCGATAGATATTTTGACGTAAACATCCTCTAAGAAAGGATTTTGATCATTTCCACTCCCCAAGGGGGTAAAATAGGGGTGAAAGTTTGTATGAAACTTTGTCAGTTTTACACCGATAGGGATGAAATTCGGCATGAAAGTAGATGTTATGACGTAGGCATCTCCAAGTAAGGATTTTGATCATTTCCAACTCCAATGGGATAATGTAGGGGATGAAAGTTTGTATGAGGCTTTGTCAGTTTTACACAGATCGGGTTGAAATTCGGCGTGCAGGTAGATATTATGACGTACACGTCCCTTTAGAAAGGTTTTTGAACATTTCCACCCCAAAGTGGGTAATATAGAGGGTGAAAGTTTGTGTGATACTTTGCCAGTTTTAAACCGATCGGGCTGAGACTTTGCATGCATAAAGTTACTATGACATAGGTATCTCCTTAGAAAGGATTTTGATGAATTCCACCCCTAAGGGGATAAAATAGGGAATGATAGTTGGTGTGAAATTGGGAATGAAAATTGAATCTAGAATCATTGAATCTTTTTGAATTACATTCGGTAAAACGATGATTTGGGACCTGAGTAACGTATGATAGTTTTTATCTCAGAAGTCCCTCGGGAATGCTCAGAGTCCTGGAGCATTGACGGTCAATGCTCCAGGACTCTCTATCTTTTAACCACTGAACTTATTTCATAGAGATTCTGTACAACAATAGTCGAAGTTTTTATTACTCAAATTTACGTGATCGGGCCGGGACTGGTAAAAACCCTGCGGGATTTTTAATTTATTGAAATTACGATAAATCATATCACAATAGGTAAATTAAATTGGGCACTGAATTGATTCTGATGAATTCTGTCAGAAGTCATTAATCTACGCGGACGAAGTCGCGGGCAACAGCTAGAAAAAATATAATATGAACAAAATTCGTTCAAAATTTTCATACAAAGCTCAATGTCATACGTATAAGGCCTATCATTTGGAAATCATTACAAGTAGGTACAAACTTATTAGCATAAATTAGGAATCGTTTAATTAATATGTTCCTAACTACAGTTTAGATTCCAAACTTTGATTAATAGTGACAACTTTAAATGAATCTCTTTGCTAATCATTACATAACATTATGCCACAGTACAATGTAACACCCACTATTCACTATTTGTGTTATGAGTCCCATGTAATAGGGGGTGAGCCTATTGCCATATACCGGGCACAATTCCAGACTCCGTGTTACTACTGAGATATTTTTATAAACCCAGTAATATTTTGCCCGACCCGGGATTCGAACCCGATACCCCTTGCTTGGCAGTCGCACTTGCGACTACTATTAGCCAACGAGGCAGTCGTCATTACATCAAAATTAATTATTATGTATTTCGGCTTACTCGCGTAATTATTTGACATGAGGAACTCAAAAAACATATTGATTGAGTGAACCGAACAACAAAATATGTACCTACATAATTGATTTACCTAGTATGTCACTCGAAAGTTATAATATAAAAATCATTACATCGTCGACATGGAATTTTTCAGTATCAATGTAAGATATATCAAATGTAAATAATAATTGGTAGCCATCATCTCATGACTCAGTAGCCTATGACAATGCAATGCAATCGAGTCATCGTTACAAACTATTAATTGCTAATACATTAATTTTTAAGATAGCCTTTGTTTCTTATCTTGATTAGTCTAATAGGAATCGTTTAGCAGTATTTTAGGACTGAATAAGTTTCTGAACTTTAATTTATAACATGAAAGTTCATTTTAATTTTCGCTTCCACAGAAATTAGTGTTAATGTTAAGCTACAGATGTGAAGAGTAAAAAAGGTTTTGAAAACATCCGACCACTGTCAACTATTTATTGATTAAGGGCTAGAGATACGCATAAACACACAATGGAAACCGAAGGGTTATATTAGAAAAAAGCTATGAAAGAATAAAATCATTAAAACAGTACGACTCTAATGCAAAGATGGAAGATTAATAAAATGCAATTGTCATAAAATATATTATATTGAAATTTTTTAAATATTCAAAGATGACCGAAAGCACAATAAAGTAATGCTATTAAAAGTTCTAAATCAATAGAACTTCGATGACACACCTACAAGCATTAAGCACAAATTGATGTGGGTCCCAAATAACGGCGGGAGGAGTTACCATCGACGTCGAGACGACGATGAAGTACCTAGGACTCGTCCTCGACAGTCGGTGGAACTTCATTGAGCACTTCCGACGTTTGGCTCCAAAGTTGGAGAGGACGGGGGCTGCGTTTAAACGCATCCTCCCCAACCTCGGGGGGCCAAACGCCTCCTGCCGGAGGTTATACGCCGGGGTCGTGCGGTCCATGGCCCTCTACGGCGCCCCTGTTTGGGCGCCTAACCTGTTGCGGCGTCCCGCTCGGACGCTGCTCATGGCACAGAGGGTCATGGCGATCCGAATGATCCGCGGATACCGCACGATCTCTGGGGAGTCGGCGAACCTCCTTGCCGGATTACCGCCGTGGGATCTGGAGGCGAAGGTGCTCGCGCGCGTGTACAGCATGCGCGCGGAGGCACGTCGCCGGGGCGAAACCCCGCTGCCGCGCCAGATAGGTGCGTGGCGGGATGAGCTCCGGCGCGATCTCATGGCGGAATGGCAGCAACGACTGTCGCAACCGAGGGCTGGGCTCGCTGCCATCGCAGCGGTAAGTCCCCTCTTTGAGGAGTGGCTTGAGAGACGCTACGGCGTCCTCACCTACCGCCTGACGCAGGTCCTCACCGGACATGGAAGTTTCGGGA